GTTCCTTCAGCTTGTCTCATCTGTTGCATTATAATATTCGACTCCATGTCTTTCTTCTCCCCGTACTGAAATGCGTTCATTTCCACCTTGCGCATCTGTTGGGCTTCCTCCTCAAACTTGCGCCATGCCTCAGCCATGTGGTGTTGGTGGTGACTCACTAGATGCCCCGACTGCTTGCTGGCAATCTCGCATCGTCTCTCCAGCTCTTGGATCCGGATGGTGCTTCCATAATCTTCTTGATGAAGATTCGCCATTTCTGCGACGTCCGCGGTGTCGCAGGCGAAGATGATGATCTTCTTGGTGGAGACTCTCTTTGCTTCGACTCCTGATGAATAGCGATCTGTTTCCATGACCTTGTAGGTGTGGACATGTCGCTGAATAGTGCGGATCCTCCGCTCCCAGGTTCGTCCTGTGAATCTGCAACCAAATCCATCACCGCAGGAAGAGCCATCAAGCCATCTGATCCCTCTGAGCTGTCGTTCCCAAAAGTCGCAGTACTTGGGCTCGCTGAAGATGCCATTGTACCGTGTAGGTTATTGTCCCTCTATAGTTCCTGTACCCGCAATAGACCAGCTGTCTCTCCGTCCAGTGTAGAGCTTGTCGTTACGGCTGATAACCTGTCAAGAGACGGCAAGGTGACGTCCCGTGGGACGCTGTTCACCGAACCCTCCAGCTGTAATACCAACCACGTAGAAAGGAGTATACGGACGAATGCCCGTTATAGGCCGAACCCGTGTAAAAACGTTTGTAAGGGAGAAGGAATGATAGTTACAAACAGTGGTCCTGACAAATGTGCAGAGCCGCGAAGCGAAGTGTTTTTCCGCTCTCAATGCCGATCACGTATGTATGCAGCTACACATCAGATCTTGAACCTCAATTGTGTCTTGAGCCAAATGGCGATCAATGGAACTTGGTAAGCAACACCAACATGGACCTCAGAACAGCTTCCCAATTTCGGCACGGGGCCTAGAGGGTTTTAACATTTATCCCTCTCATAACCTGTAGCTTGGGCCACACACAGTGCGTCAGTGACGCAAACACGTCACTAAAACGTTCCTCCTTAAACACACGAGTCACACAGACAAGGAACATGTTACAAAACAAGCTGCGCAGCAAACCTACGCCAGGTCAAACGCAAATGTCTCGTCACTATCACAAAAAGAGAGAGGCTCTTTTCTTCCAAGCAATGGGGCGAGGCTTATCGACATGTGCATAGCTTTGCTTTGCACACTCCAGCAACCAACATTGCTCTTGCAATTTGTTGCCGCAACTTCAAGCGACACTTGCCGCAGAAGCCACCACCCCATGCCTTTCGTAGGCAAGCTCGCACAGGCAAACATACTCATCCCACTCCATCAAGTCAGCTCTGTCCTCCTGTCTGAACCGAGCCGTATCGTTGCGAGAGGGTGAGTCCGCAACATTCGAGGCGGTGTTGACTCGCTCAAACCAACAACAAGCCTCCATTCGTTCCTCTTCCTCGCAACTCGCAAGAATGATTCCCATTCCAACTGAATTCTCACTGAAGCATTTCACGAAGCATGCCTGAGCCGCTTGATTGTCCGTGAAAACCACCAAGTTCTTGCCGCGCAGTACGTTGCGCCAGGTGTGCAAAGAAATGAAGATCGCCATGCGCTCCAACTCGAAAATTGGGTTTTGACTCCCGGTAGTGTTGAACCGCAGCAGTTGCGCCCCGTCCAACATCAAACTGTAGAAGCTTTGCGTTCCTTTGTTCGGATCAATCAGGACTCCTCCAAGGCCTGCTGGAACACTGCTCTGCTGCTCGCAACATGCATCAACATAGACATGCAAGGTATCAACCGCGCCTGCACGAATCATTCGCGGACCCATGCCCCCAACTCTCATCTTCAAGTACATCAGAGACTCAACCAAACGCGTTCCCAGTCTGCCCCCGCTCGACGAAGCGTGACGCGATATGGCCCGCATGGCTAGAACCGATCTCCTCCCGCAGATCTGATTTTCCGCAAACTGCAACCGGCCTCTGACACTGAGGGCCTCGTTCGCGCTCAGGCTCCCCCTTTTGATCACGCAATCGATTTCCTCTGTCACCTCACGTTTCCGTTTCTCAGTATTGGCAAGGCTGAAGAAACCTCGTGAAGCATTGGACAAATCAACCACCAGTCCCAAAGCGACCATTTCACTGCCAAAGGGGAACTCCTTGTCCTCGGAGATTTCCCAGCCAGTAAGTCTGAAGAATGTATCCACGACCCACTGAGTGTGCTCGCACAAGGCCTTCTCCTCCACGCAGAGAAAGTCATCAAAGAAAACCGTCCAATGGATTCGCAGACATACCACCGCGGTTCTCCACAACGCGTAACTGAGGCGACCGAAGCAGTTGACAGATGCTGTAGATCCAAAAGGCAAGACATACTGGCCAAAGAGTTCAACTTCCAAAGACTTCGGGTTCAAGACTGCGAGGTAACTGTCTTGAAGAGCGCGCTTCGAAAGTGGGAGCTGTTTGTACGCACGTTTCAAATCCCAGCTCTTCCCTTGCAAACACCTTCTGTCAGTGCAATCCGTCAACCCCAGCCTGTACGAAGACGCCGCCGCAATCACATCCGCAGTATGCAGAGTTATGGTCTCATGAACAGTGGTCGTCTGATTCAGTTGCGACTCAGTGTAATTGTCAATGGGTCTAACTTTCTGTCCCTGCCTCACACCAAATCTCCTCGTGATGGAACACTCGGGCCCCAAGTCGGACTCGGCGTAGGGGCCGCGCAGGTAGCCCAAAGACAGCTCCTTCATGGTCGCATCGTAAACTGCTTGCGCCAGTTCATGGTCCGATCCCAATCGATCTCCCTCAGCATGGACAGATTGCAAAATGCCACTCCTGACCCTTTTGGCGTTCCGTCTCAACGAATCAACAGTCAGCTCTGCAGGCCTGAACTTCTTCCTGAAGACTGCGGATTTAGGAATGTCACCCGCGATGTCAAAGCCCTTCATGATGTCATCCACCAAACTGACATCCCCATGGCCACTTTGCCGTAGCATGTGTTCGAAAAGCTTCAAACGCTTCTGCCCGAGCACAGTCCTAACATGGGGTTCAAGGCTCAACCTGATTTCCTTCTCTGCACTGTTGAGATCCCTTGCAAGAAGTAGCCACTCCTTGATCACCCCGATTCTGAAATTTCGCATGTCACAAGAGCTCCTCCAAGAAGCCCAATCAATGGCATCCTTGAGCTCGATCGGCACTCCGGAATGCAAGTTTCTGGGGTGGACAAGGCTCGCAGCCCTTTCGAGGAACTCATCCACACTCCAAGGAACCCCAAACACGGCTTCGCAATCTGGTTCAAGAGTGTCATCAAAACTTGAATCAAAGGGCGCAGCCTTCTCCAATTCGTTGCCTTCTGAGGGGCCCGCCTGACCCCCCGTGTTCTGGACCCTCAGCATACGCGATCCGCTGGGCAGCACTTTCACTTCCGGGTTCTGCTTGAACTGCAGAGGAATAGCCCAGTCTGAGTCAAGCTTGTCGACCGGCAATAACGAAGAAGGCCCTTGCAGAACCACGATCTCACGAAATTCCTTGACCAGCGGGGGAATCCGTTTCCTGGTTTGCTTGTTGGCGTAGCTCTGCGCCAACTGCAGCTCGTGCTGATTCACGACGGCTTCAAGCTCCAACGGTGCGCCAATTGCTCCGTATGCAAACCAGGCTGCAGCGTAAGCATGACTGAGAGCTTTGCAAAGCTTCCACGGATAGGCTGTTTCTTCGCTGGTGGAAAAATTTCCATCATGAGAATAGCCCCAGGGCAAATGTTCGTGAGTCCCATCACACAAGGCCGAAACTCCGCTCAGCTCGACAAAGTTGTGAACAAACTTGTTCCACTTCTTTCTGCTCGATCCATACATGCAATGATGGCAGTATGTCTCATAGAATGTGGTAGCACCCACGCTATCCAGCCAGAAGGACGTCTCCCACATCCAACTCCTTGCCGGATTCTCCACGGATGCTGGGACGCCCAATTGTGTACAACGTCTGAAAATCTCTCCAGTGATGGAATAGAGGCGGTTTGCCTGAAAAACTCGGACTTTTTCACTCCCTTGGAGGGAAGGGATCCCGTCAGGACAAGTCTCGTTCCTGAGCGGTCGTGGTGCTTTCCGGCCCTCCAGAACGATTTCACGGGCACGCGAACTTGTCCCGCATGGCGGTGCCAAATGCACCCCAGCGCATGCAGGGTCCTCCACAAAGCTCCAAAGCAAAGCGAGCTGGTCGTTTTGAACGAGGTCCAGCTTAACCACAGGGCTCTTGGCCTGTTTGTGGATCTTGTGATCAACTCCAAAACTGTCAGGCAGCCCGCCTGCTCTGACACACGCCGTCAAACGGCTGGTTCCACAGAAAACTTCTATAAAGAAGACATCGTTGAGGAACTTTCCGTCGAAGCGTGCAGCTGCCCTCTCGGTGAAACTGTTCATATCTGCGGAGCCTCGAGGCTCGTGTCAGATTTTTCTGGCATCCAGGCTCCATGCAAACGTGCAGCCCACGCGGACATTCCTGTCCCGCCTTCGCCTTCTTGAACGCCCAACAAATTGGCTGCCCCGACTTCGTACTGGATTGTTTCGATGTCAGCTCCTGCGGCATGCCCTTAGGCTGCCTCCATGCCCTCGTCTTCTTCCCTTTGCCGCCGCCTTTGTCTGCTGAACCCTTCCCTTTTTGCATCGATGTAACTATCTTTGCAGGCCTCTCAGCCGCATCTTCCAGCGAACGTTTCTGCGACGCCAACGGAAGCGGCAGCAAATAAAAGGTAAACTTGGGATCGTTGGCCAAGGCTTGAATGGCGGCATCCATGGGCAGAGAACCGTCAGCAGCGCGTTTCACACCTGACGTCAGCGTCTCCGCAAGACGAACCCAGGCTTGCTGATCCGCCTTCAAAACTTGCTGCAGCGTCACCTTGTTGTAGCCTGGAATGGCGTGGCTCTGCAAATGGTTCAGCAACATGGAATTATACTCCTCCACGACGGCGTATGTTGCCAACTGCATGAGGTCCATGGCTAGGCCCTTCGCGTGAGCGCCTGGGCCAGCAGCAACTCTGAGCCAGTGTCACATGTCAGTCCCGATGGCTTTTCATGCACCTGCAACTGCGATCCAGAGACCAGGATAATCTCCCTGCGTGGTTTATCCTGCGCAAGTTCCGATCTGCGTGATGGAAATTTGTGAGGAGCCAAATAGACCACACTGTTGCTCTCCTGTAGTTGGCTCACCTGGTCGTAACATGAGTGGGCGCATTCGAGTTCGCCCTTCAGCGTGAGTCCTTTGAGCCGCTCCACCTGCTTCTTGATGCGCTCCGACCGCTCGGCGGGTGCAAGTTGCAACGAACCCTCAGGCCTGTTCTCAACCAGTGACTTGACCTGTGCAATCACGATGGTCTGAGCCTCGAAGACCAAACGTCTAATGCAGCTCAACTGTCCAACACTCACTGCCTCATCGCCTTCTCTGATGAGGCCCTTCAGGTCATCCGTCGATGCCGAGAAAGCCAGCTTGGCCAGCGTTGTAATACCTGCATTCTGCAATATAGTCGTTTCAGACTCGCCCAAGCCCACAGCAGCGCATCTCTCCAAGAATACCGCACTGGATTCAGGTATGCTTGCCATCGCATCTAATGCTCACGGACCCGATGCAAATCTGTTTGCTTGCAATTTGGACAGTCTAATTCATGCAACAGTTGCGCACTTGCGCCAACACATGTGGTCATCCAAAGGTAACTGGCACTTGCCGTTTGAGTGACTCTTGCCACAATCTGACTCTTGCCAGAGGCTGACTCTTGCCAGCTCTTGAGCATCCAAAACGGGACCATGTCAATCGAACATGCTCCCTCAGATTTCAAAACTGCACACCATGCAACAAAAAATTCGCAGCATTCAACCTAACACTCAGCACTTGATCTAAGACATGGTGGCAGCGAAAAACCCGTTTCAACTCTTGCTACGGATTCGTGTCTGCTTTAAGTTGAGAGGCGTGTCGGTCAACCTAGGCCTCTTGGCCCTCTTGAGCATCCAAAACGGGACCATGTCAATCGAACATGCTCCCTCAGATTTCAAACTGCACACCATGCAACAAAAATTCGCAGCATTCAACCTAACACTCAGCACTCGATCTAAGACATGGTAGCAGCGAAAAACCCGTTTCAACTCTTGCTACGGATTCGTGTCTGCTCTCACTTGAGAGGCGTGTCGGTCAACCTAGGCCTCTTGGCCTGCTGGTCGGCCATGAAACTCACCATGCCGTCGACATCCCTTATGTTTCTGCCTGCCACGCATTGTTTGCACCTGATCCCACCCGATGTCTCTCTCTCCACAGGGTTGGTGTCTGCAGTGAGTTGGCGTCCGCAAACGAACGCTCTGACAGTCTGACTTCGAGGTTTCAGGCGCATGGTTCCCGTTTTCTGATTGAGATAGATCTCACAACCAGTGGCCCAGTTCAGACTCCTCTCGTCTGGCTTTGAGCTCGCGGCAGTTTGAGGCCCCTCTTCATCAGCGCCTTCTTCGTCTGATGAACTGCCATCTGATGAGCTGTCACTGCCACTGGAACTGGAGCTGTCTTCAGCAGCTTCGTCATCAACCAAGACAGCATCACTGTGTTCAGAAGGCGTCTGTTCTCTCTCATGAATTTGGGGCTCGGGCGTCGCCTGGGTCCGTTCCACGAAGTAGCCCGACCTGGAGTGATCAGGAAAGAAGGTGCCCAGGCGAATGTCCTTCAAACACCTCTCCAGGTCACGCAGCGCAGGTGATTGTGCGTCCCTTGAATACGCATGCAACGTCTTCTTCGTATTGTCTGAATGATTCCCAAGAACGAGACGGCTTTCATCTGAAAAACCAGCCTTGGCCATCCAGCTCAGGACAGTTGCCTTCAGTCCGTGTCCCGTAAAACCTGGCCCAGGTTTCACGCCTGAACTCTCGATCAGCCTGAGCACGAGCCCAGCCAGTTCGTCATGCCCGATTGCTCTTGAACTCAAATCCCCAGAAATCGTCGGGGCCAGAAACAGAGGTCTCTCCTTCCAGTTGTCAAGATCCAAACCAACGTCCTTCAAGGCCTGCTTGAACCCGAGACCCCAAATTGACGATCCCGCTCCATGCACAGGGGCAATGAGCAACAGAGGCAAACCGTGCATGGCCGAACTTCGCATGGTTTTGTGTTCCCAGGTCGCGACCTCCACATATCCGTGATCAGCTCGTTCCGGATGCAGGTCCATACTAATGCCACTCACTTGCTTCAAATCTGATAGCCGTGCTCTGCTGTAAATCATGAACAAGACCATTGCACATGCATAACGGTCATAGCTGTGCACATCCTGTCTCTTGAAGAAATCTTCTAAGGCCGCGACCTCCTTGACCTCCAACACCCGAGACTGCTTCTTGGGTTTCTTCGTGCTTCTCGCACCCCTCAAAATTCCTTGCAGAACGGGTGACTTCAAAACCTTGTCATCAATGGCGAGCCCGACAACGAATTTCCCAAACGTGAGGGTCTCCATCAGCTCTTTGATGGCAGATGTTCGGCCTTGCTCGTTCAAGGTCTCTACGTATCCCACCAAAGAATAGACATCTACAGGCAAGAAGGTATCGAGTCTCTGAGCAGCATGCCAACGCCAGTACTTCTCCATGCATCTGGCTCGTTTGCAGACTGTGCTGACACTCTTGCCACTCAGTGCCAGTTTGACCAGTCTATACACTTCCTGCTCGACATCTCGATCACCTTCGACATGTTGTGCAAAATCTGTTGCCTCTATGTTCGTCATGACGATATCCTTCCATGTTTGGCAACCCTTCCCAAACTTCATTGAGTCGTCGTGCTTCTTGCGCCAGCCCCGTCCAAACTTGATGACATGTTGGAAAACAGGGACGCCTCCAGCGAAATCCGGTGCAACGACAGGGATGTCACCTGTAAGAGCTCCAGCACGCATGCGTCCAGGCAAGGTAACACTCAGAGGTTCCACCATGGTTTCTTGGACGTGAAAATCAGCGTTTCCAAAGATCCTAGCGAAAACACCTCGCTCCCAAGGTAATTTCGGAATGCCCGTTCCTGTTGCACGCATCTGCGCTTCGTACAGGATCATGTCGTAATCTGCTTCGCCTGTTGACACAGCCTCTGTAAAAACTGTTCCAGAGCCACGTCTGCGAGTGTCGTCTTCAACCTCCTGTTCATCCAAGACCTCAGAGCCTTCGCGCTGGGACTCAGCAACAGGAGGATTTCTTTCACCGGATCCATCTAATGATTCAACATTGAAGGTTGGCACGGATGACGTCGCGAGGCCAAAACCTGCCTCTGAACCAGCCAATGAAAAATCTCCATTATCATCCTACGCACGCTGCGGCTGAGAAGCGTCGTGTCGTGGACTACCGCAAAGGATGAGCAGGCTGGCATGTGACATTTGCACTGATGGGGAGGAGCATCGGCAATCACGTGAATGCATGTGTGTCCCAGCACGCCGTATTGGTGATGGTGGGAAAAGGCTCATCCCGTCTGTCAAATCGGCACGTGCGGACACACCCTGAGTTGCCAGTCTGAGGTGCACTCGTGCCGTGATTTCAGGTACCAAGACAATGGGTCCATTGCAACACAGAACATAAAGACGCTTTTCAACGCTTTTCAACTGTCTGACGAGCACCCTCTTATGTGATGCCCGCCCATGAAAGGCCCGAGGGCCAGAACACGCACGCAAACACGCACTCACACCGACCCCACACAACACACACACACACACCACACACACTCAAAAAAATCACTCAAGAGCCCGAGCTCGAGTCCACCGGCGGAAACTTCGTTTCTGCTCAGCGCAGGTATCTGGCAAATCATCATCTCGTTTTCCGAGATCAATTATAGGCTGTACACGAGGAATGCAGGGGAGAACACCACGTGACTCCCGATGTGGCGAGTCAAACATCAATTTGAGCAAAGCTTGGCACATCTCATCCTGACAAAGCATCTGCGGCCGCGAGTCAAGTCCCCAGGTGGGCTGGCATCCATAAATCCTATAAAGCGACATAGCCTTTTTGGTGGATTTGGCCGGCCACAAGGGCACTTGCAAGATCTTTCCCAAGTGTTGCAACAAGTTTGTGTAACATCTTAGACACCGTAACCGTCTGGGCAGCCACATGCGGGTCCGTCTCAATAGTGGCAAAGCGAGGCTGATTCTTTGTACCAAGATTGACGGGCACAGCGGCTTGCGTTGTCCAAAGGAAATTTATCAAGAGCTCGTAGAAGGTAATGTCAGGTCGATCCGGCTGTTCAGAAGAGTCCCACTTTAAAGTCCGCAACCAAGCAAGGAGCCTGTGGGTGTAGCTCGACCCCCAGTACAACCTACCTGCCACCGATTCAGGAAGGTCCGGCAATTCAAAGAGGATTGGATCTGGGATCCTGCGGGTTAAAGCTGCAACTGCCTCGTCCCGCTTAGCCCCCCCAGCATTGCTACACGAGGACTGGTCCTTCAATTGTCTCCTTTCCGTTAGGCGCGCACCTTCCTTGGCAAGGATTTCTTCTGTTCGAGATCTATCCTACAGTGCATTGCAATCGCCACAGTTGACCTCCAGAGAGCGTAGTGCTTCTGGACACCTCGTAGCAAGTCCCGAGTGTGTGGAAACCCTTCCGTACGTGCAACCCCGGCGGCAAGGTCAGCTAACGCATTACCCTGGATGTAGTATTTTTCAATAGGAGTCATACTAACTGTTACAACTTGGTGGCTCTTGATTTTCTCAAGCGTAATTCTCGGCTTCCTCACCTGAGCAGCCGTACAAATGCGCAAGACAATATCAAAATTAGCACAATTCCAAAACAGTATTGGATCAGGGTTACGCAGAATTGAAGTGACAAGATTAACGCAGTACTGTGAGTCTACAATGACAGTGCATTCAAAGGCCACCTGCACAATGATTGCCACAGCCAAGAGCTCAGCCCGATTGATAGTTTGCAGGCCGGGTGTGCCTCCAACTTGACAAACTGCAAATGCGTCGTGTGGAATGCAAGGCAGGGTAGCAAGGGTCTGGGCCCAAGCTTCCCGTTGAGGATTTCCACAACACTTATCACGAACAATGGCCCAGGTAGCTTCCCTTTCAATCTGCGTGTGTGCACGATTCAAAGATCCGTCCGTCCAGAACATCTCGTGATGGTCCGGGTGACAGGTGAAGGTCGGTTCGGGCAGATCTTCAGCAAGCCTAAGTGCCAAGAGGTCACATGCAGCCTGAGAGGATGGGAAAATGGGCATCAGAATGCATGCACGGGTGGAAACGGGGTCAGAGTCAATCCAATCGGTCCAATGATCCAAACACTCACGGGTGATGCTGCACTGGAAGAGGCTATGCTGTTCCGTGTGCGGTTGTCCGCACAGGCACTTTTCACCAGGCCGCACAGAACATAAAGACGGAAAAGGCACGCCCCATGTCAACCCCTTGTTGGACCACACGGTGAGGGAGAAGTCTGCCCTGTACCTTTTCGGCCGAAGAAGAGTTGTCGCGCACAGCCACGGATCCACAGGGGAGCACCTCTAGCAGCAAGAACCTTCAATGCAAAGTACGGGTTGACTCTTTCAAAGGCTTTGGACAGGTCAACCAGCAAGGCAA